CTATCTGCCAATGCATATGTATCTTCCTCCTTAACTATTCTGCACTTTTTAAACTTAGCTTCTATGTTTCAAAATTTCTGAACCTCATCTAGTGTTCAGTCCATGGTGGATCAGAGGATCAGGCCCATGGGTTGGACTTCTACTTCTTTGCTTTACAAAAACAGATGAAAAGGAACAAGGGCCAGTTTGGTCTCTTTCCTGCCAGCTAACTCCAGGCAGTGGCTCAGCCCTTCAGGTAAGACAGGTATTCTTTCTCTTCCTTTCACGTGTGAGGTATGTTTTTATCAGCTGCTGGTTCTATATAGACTAGAGGGATGTAAGGCCTCACTCAACTTAATACTATACCTTTCCAGAAAAATTCTACGCTGGCATTGAAATCAGTGTCTCTGACAAGAATAGAGTGGTGTCTTGTTTACCAATAACCATTGTCTTATATGTCTTTTCAGGAATATCATGAGATAGTCAAAATAAGATTGAGAAATGACTGGTGTCAATGAACTTGACAGCCCCAGCAGTTTGTCACAGCTATTATTACACTGTTTTTTTTTTTTAACAATGCATCATATGCTAAGAGGGAATTCTAGAAAGACAACAGGCTATAACTACACTCATTTTCCTGAGACACAGCTAGGTCCAAGTTTTTGCTTGTTGCGCCTATGGATCTTTCTTGACTTAAAATCTAAAGCATGATTTCTGGTTGAGTTTTCTTACATACCTGATGTGTGTTTGTGTGTGATATATTCATATATGTGTATATATAAATATATTTAATACTGTAGTAGTGTTCTACCTTAGATCTACCCTGTTCCAAGAGTACTCTTTAAAAAATAACCTTAAGCTTCTGCCTAAATGTCTTCAGCAAAAAGGCCATGCTTAGTGTGTAGATCATCAAATGCACTTAGAGATCTTATTCAGTCAATTATATATCACATTATCACATTGTAGAGCATTTCAGGGGGATCATTTTGAAATGGATTTTCATTCGGCCATGCAACAAATAATTATTGATCTCAGATACCACTCTGATTTCTAAGGATATACTCATGAACAAATCAATGTTTCTATACACAGACACTGGACAGGAGACCGGTAATGAGCCTGTAAACAAAGAAAGATTATTGAGAGAATAAGAATCGCTATTCAGAAAAGAACCTGAAAAATGACTGTGCCTAGGAGATACGTGAAATACACCATAAAAGGAGGCAACATCTGAACTAAGACTGAAAAGCGGAATCCATTAACCCCATGAAGTTTTTTGGGGAAAACTTTCTACCAAGAGAAAAGCATGAGCAAAAAATCTTTGAGTTTGGAATGTTCAGTACCAAGAGAAGACAGAATGCAAAGAACCATAGGAAACATGGGGGAAGGGGTGAGATAGCAGAGTCAGACTGAGATCCTCCTGCAACAGAGGATCCTTTAAGAAACTTTATGCCACATGCAGTGAAAAGCTTTAGAAGACTTTAATCTAAGGAAGTGTTTTTCAACCTTTTTACACCTAAAAACTGGCTCCAGTGTGTGGTCCAGTATTCAAAAACCACCTATAACTTTTTGGTGGTTAGCTCAGTAGCAATAACTTTTTTTAAATTTAAAAAAATTTTTATTTTAATGAATGACCGTGAGATACAGTTACAGACTTACAAACTTTCATGTTTATGGTTCAGTCATATAATGATCAAGTACCCATCCCTCCACCAGTGCCCATTCTCTACCACCAATGTTCCCAATATCACTTCCCCATCCCCTCCCCCCACCCACCTCTGTGGCAGTCATCCTGTTTACTGTTTCTCTCCTTTAGGGTGTTGTGGTCTGCAATGCAGCTATTAAGTGGCCATCATGTTCAGTCTATAATCTACTCTCTGTTCACATCTCCCATCCCTAGCAGGTCTTCCAACCATCCTTTACTTGGTGGTCCCTTCTCTATCTGAATTGCCTTTTCCCCTTGCATGTGAGGCCAGTTTCCAGGTAGTGGAGCATTCCTTCTACTCCTAGTTTCTCTTATCTTTGAGTGTGAGTCTCCCATTTTGTTACTTTATATTCCACAAATGAGAGCAATCTTCCTATGTCTGTCTCTCTATTTCTGACTCATTTCACTTAGCATGATACTCTCCATGTTAATCCACTTATATGCAAATTTCATGACTTCATCTTTTCTAACAGCTGCATAGTATTCCAATTGTGTAGATGTACCAAAGTTTCTTTAGCCAGTCATTTGTTCTCAGGCATTCTGTTTTTTTTTCCATATTTTGGCTATTGTAAACAGCACTGCAATGAACATATGAGTGCAGATGTCATTTCTACCATACATTTTTAGTAGCAAAAACATTTTGAAGGATAAAAAATTTCTGCAGACCAGCATTGCCCACAGACCAGCAATTATAAATCACTCATCCCAGAGTGACAGGATAATTTTATAATGGCTGTAGTAAGAAGGGCAAAGAGGGTTAAGAAGAGTTACAGGAGAGGGCTGGAAGGGAATATCTAGAGTAAGTGTGGATTTTGTGAGTGTATTAGCAGGGAAGCTGGTAAGAAAAGGTCCATTACAACATGTACTTTCATAAACAGGGTCATCAGGACTAGCTTATGGATAAGATATGGAGGAGATTGGGGGGCGGGGGGCGGGGGGCGAAAGGCTAGTCAAAGGGTTGGGCCTTATCAAATAATGCCAAAATTTGGTTAAATGCTTTCTCTTTACAAGGCTGATATGTTTACTAGGTTTTAAAGTAGAGATGCTGTGTAGATTGTTGGAATCTGTAGTTCAGAAAAGAAATCAGGACTGAATATAAAAATTAAGGGTCATTGGCAACATCACACACTAGATTGCAAGGCTAAACTATGCCAATCATAACATTTTTCTGGTGCCTTACTCTGATCTATGGTTATCAAAGCATCATCAGATTATCAATCTCTGTCATATCCCAAATGATGACAGTAATGCTACTCTCTGGGTTTCCAACCTAACTCTTTGTCCTTCCAGATAACTGACATCATACATTGCTTTTCAAGAATCCCTGCATTCAACTCAAGCTTAGTCATTTGGCATCCCTTATGCCCCTCTTATGACTCACCCTTTCCAAGGTACATTCTGAGACACACTACCCTCTCTTATGATCATTTAATTTTTTCCTTACCATTCAGACTAATGTGATCCAACATGTAGCAATTTGAATTCGAAATGTTCATTGACTTCAATTGTTTAAGAGCAATAAATTTAAGTTTTTACAAGAAGAAGGTCATTTAACAAAACAAGTCATTAAATGCAGGCTTAATCTAATCTGAATTATCAAATAACTTAAAATATATGCAGCTATGCCTCAGCAATTCTTTTTTCATATATTTATCTCACAAAACAGTAAGAGTATGATTACTATAATAAGCATAAAATGTTTCTAGATTATCACTTGTTTGTAAGACAGTACCAGTCCTTTTATTCATTGGAAAGAATTGTCAAGGATCTGGGATCTGAACATCCCAAGAATGGGTGTGAGGCTCTCTTCTCCAATGGGAAGGTAAGATTCTAATATCAGTACCCCTGTTCACCAGTGGTCATCAACTGGGATGAAAGAGGAATAAGAGCTCTTCTGCCTATGATAAATTTTCAGAACTATTAGATTTCCCTCAAGTGAATTTTATTACTATTATAGGAAACCAGCATTGAGGGTATTTTTCTATTTTTCCATTCACAAAGTCGTTTGTAGGTAATGTAACTGTGGTTTATAAATATATTCATTACACAGCAAGAGCACTTTGAGGCAAAAATAAAAGGTGCTAAGTGTACTAAATAAAGATACTTTTGCAAATTTAGTACAACAGCATGTAAGAACCCTTTATCATATGGAGTAGAAAAGATGACAGAATCAGAATAATATTTTGCTGAAGGAGAACATTTAGGGAACAATTTAAGGAACAATTTTATTATCTAGAAATGGCCCACGGGCAGTGAATGCTTTAAAATCTCAGCATAGATTGCTTTATAAATTAAGGGAAAAAATGATCTGCTAGCCTATCTAACTACTATATGGGCAAAATGGCATTATAAATTTGTTATAAAATAACTAGAAAGTATTTAATACTTTTTAAAGAAGCACCATAACAATTCCATTAACTACCTGAGAGCTATTAACTTAAAAATATTTCTTTTAAGAAACTATAGTTGAAATTACACCTGCACTTGTATGTTCATTGCTGGACTGTTCACAATAGCCCAAATCTGGAAAAAACCTGAGTGCCCGAGAATAGATGACTGGTTAAAGAAACTTTGGTACATCTACACAATGGAATACTATGCAGCAGTTAGAAAGGATGAAGTCATGAAATTTGCAAACAAGTGATTCTACATGAAAAGTATCATGCTAAGTGAAATGAGTCAGAAAGATAGGGACAGACATAGAAAGATTGCACTTATCTGGGGAACATAAAGTAACAGAATGGGAGATGAACACCCAAGAATAGTTGAGATAAGTACCAGGAGGTCTGCTCCACGGCTTGGAAGCTGGCAGCACATGCTGGAGGAAAAAGCAGCTCATATAGAAAAGGGAACACCAAGTAAAGGGTGTTTGGAGGACTCGCTTGGGATGCGAGATGTATGCTGAAAGTAGACTATAGACCGAACACAATGGCCACTCAATACCTCTATTGCAAACCACAATACCCTAAAGGAAAGAGAGAGCAAAAGGGAATGCCCTGCCATAGAGGTGGTGTGGGTGGGGGGGGATGGATGGTGGGAGGAGAACTGGGTTCATTGGTGGTGGAGAATGGGCACTGGTGGAGGGATGAGTACTTGATCATTGTATAACTGAAACCCAAACACGAAAGTTTGTAAGTTTACAACTGTACCTCATGGTGTCTCACTTAAAAAAAAAAAGAATATTTGACCACAGTATATCCACATATCAATTTGAACTAAAAATCTAATAATTTCATATAGTACTGTTTAACATATAGAAATTTCAAATCTGATAATTTCATATAGTACTGTTATTGAAATCATAGAAGATACTTACCAGTTGCCGTCTGGATTTATAAACTGTTGCACTGCATAGCCAAACTGTCCACTTGAAGGACCAGAAAATATCTTTGCTTCTAGGAGACCAACATTATATGCCATACAGCAATTTAAAATGCCTGTTGAGAAAAAAAATATAGTCCCAATTTACAATGTATAAATATAAGTTTGCAATATAATTTTCTCCTTTAAAATACCATGGGCTAGAGCTATCGCACAGAGAATAGAGCATTTGCCTTGCATGCGGCGGACCGGGGTTCAATTCCTCTGTCCCTCTTGGAGAGCTCAGCAAACTACAGAGAGTAACTTGCTTGCAAGGCAGAGCCTGGCAAGCTTCCCATGGCTTATTCCATATGCCAAAAAACAGCAACAACAAGTCTCACATTGGAGATGTTACTGGTGCCCGCTGGAGCAAATCGATGAACAATGGGACGACAGTGCTACAGTGCTACTTTAAAAAGAACCAACATCTCTGGAAAGAAAGATGGCGGCCGCACGGGAGCCTTGTGGAAAGCGGGTTTGAGCCGGGCTCGGGGGGGGGAGCAGCGGGGACCTCATGGGAAGGGGGGCTTTGTGGGCCGTCCCCCACGCCCCATCGGGGTCGCCAGCTGCCCCCCACGAGCGGCTCTCCGGCACGGCCACGGCCCCGGAGGCACAAGGACTTAGCACAGAGAACCAGCCGCTTGGAGCAGAAAAGCAAATGGACTTGTGTTGATCCGCGCCACCAAGCCTGCCCGGAGGGGGAAGGGCGTTGACCTGCCCGCCCGTTCCTCTCTGGAAAGAAAGATGGCGGCCGCACGGGAGCCTTGTGGAAAGCGGGTTTGAGCCGGGCTCGGGGGGGGGGGGAGCAGCGGGGACCTCATGGGAAGGGGGGCTTTGTGGGCCGTCCCCCACGCCCCACCGGGGTCGCCAGCTGCCCCCCACGAGCGGCTCTCCGGCACGGCCACGGCCCCGGAGGCACAAGGACTTAGCACAGAGAACCAGCCGCTTGGAGCAGAAAAGCAAATGGACTTGTGTTGATCCGCGCCACCAAGCCTGCCCGGAGGGGGAAGGGCGTTGACCAGCCCGCCCGTTCCTCTCTGGAAAGAAAGATGGCGGCCGCACGGGAGCCTTGTGGAAAGCGGGTTTGAGCCGGGCTCGGGGGGGGAGCAGCGGGGACCTCATGGGAAGGGGGGCTTTGTGGGCCGTCCCCCACGCCCCACCGGGGTCGCCAGCTGCCCCCCACGAGCGGCTCTCCGGCACGGCCACGGCCCCGGAGGCACAAGGACTTAGCACAGAGAACCAGCCGCTTGGAGCAGAAAAGCAAATGGACTTGTGTTGATCCGCGCCACCAAGCCTGCCCGGAGGGGGAAGGGCGTTGACCTGCCCGCCCGTTCCTCTCTGGAAAGAAAGATGGCGGCCGCACGGGAGCCTTGTGGAAAGCGGGTTTGAGCCGGGCTCGGGGGGGGGAGCAGCGGGGACCTCATGGGAAGGGGGGCTTTGTGGGCCGTCCCCCACGCCCCACCGGGGTCGCCAGCTGCCCCCCACGAGCGGCTCTCCGGCACGGCCACGGCCCCGGAGGCACAAGGACTTAGCACAGAGAACCAGCCGCTTGGAGCAGAAAAGCAAATGGACTTGTGTTGATCCGCGCCACCAAGCCTGCCCGGAGGGGGAAGGGCGTTGACCAGCCCGCCCGTTCCTCTCTGGAAAGAAAGATGGCGGCCGCACGGGAGCCTTGTGGAAAGCGGGTTTGAGCCGGGCTCGGGGGGGGGAGCAGCGGGGACCTCATGGGAAGGGGGGCTTTGTGGGCCGTCCCCCACGCCCCACCGGGGTCGCCAGCTGCCCCCCACGAGCGGCTCTCCGGCACGGCCACGGCCCCGGAGGCACAAGGACTTAGCACAGAGAACCAGCCGCTTGGAGCAGAAAAGCAAATGGACTTGTGTTGATCCGCGCCACCAAGCCTGCCCGGAGGGGGAAGGGCGTTGACCTGCCCGCCCGTTCCTCTCTGGAAAGAAAGATGGCGGCCGCACGGGAGCCTTGTGGAAAGCGGGTTTGAGCCGGGCTCGGGGGGGGGAGCAGCGGGGACCTCATGGGAAGGGGGGCTTTGTGGGCCGTCCCCCACGCCCCACCGGGGTCGCCAGCTGCCCCCCACGAGCGGCTCTCCGGCACGGCCACGGCCCCGGAGGCACAAGGACTTAGCACAGAGAACCAGCCGCTTGGAGCAGAAAAGCAAATGGACTTGTGTTGATCCGCGCCACCAAGCCTGCCCGGAGGGGGAAGGGCGTTGACCTGCCCGCCCGTTCCTCTCTGGAAAGAAAGATGGCGGCCGCACGGGAGCCTTGTGGAAAGCGGGTTTGAGCCGGGCTCGGGGGGGGGAGCAGCGGGGACCTCATGGGAAGGGGGGCTTTGTGGGCCGTCCCCCACGCCCCACCGGGGTCGCCAGCTGCCCCCCACGAGCGGCTCTCCGGCACGGCCACGACTCCAGGACACAGAAACCAATCTCTTAACTAGCTAACTTCTAATAGAAATTCTTCCAGGGTCAATAAGTAAAATAGCAGAAATTCAAAACCGCGCGGCCGCTATTGCGGCCGCGCGACATCATTTTATTCTTAAACCAAGTTATAGAAAGCAAATCATTTCACAACGCTGTTTCAGCATGTCTGATTGGGGGGGGGGGGTGGGTCGTAAACTCTTAACAATAATTGTGCATCTTTTATCGAAATAATCTATCTAGTCAAAGTAGATAGAGTATTAACTAGAACTCATCTACCTCACAAGAATTGGGAGGGGTGGGAGGTGGGGGTCTATTGGGGTTCGGGGTTAAAAATGAGTATCGGTAAAGGGAAATGTGTTCGGTATCTACATGACTGAGACCTAAACCCGAAAGCTCTGTAACTTTTCCCACAGTGATTCAATAAATAAATAAATTATAAAAAAATAAATAAAAAAAAAAAATAAATAAAAAAAATAAAAAATAAAAAGAACCAACATTGTTTAAAGTGTAATTATTATTATTGTTACCAAGAAATAAGAGGTACTACTTTTAGCTGTTTACTTGGTACTCTGTTCTGATGTAAATGCTTTATATTTATAATTAATCATCACATTCTAACTTGTAGCAATCCTAAGAAGCTATTGCTAATATTATCTTTCTTTTTCAGAGATTTTGGAGACTCTAAAAGGTGTTTCACAGGCAGAAAGTGATATGGTTAAGATCTTATTTAAGAGCTTGAACACTTAAACCATTGATGGCCTCCGGAGATTCTAAATTACTAGTTTTGTTTGTCCTCCCAAAGAGAGTAAGACTCATAGCCACCAAAGAACAGGCTCTAAAAGCTATCTTACTTTTATTCTGAATTTATCTGAAGATCTTGACATGGAATCTAAAAGAAATGCCTGTTGAAAAGAAAGTACAACCAACTACATTAAAGGAGTTTAAGAAAACACACAAAAAAAATAGTCCTCGAACACTGCTTGATATTTCTTCAGAAAAGATCATTTTTGGGGTAAAAGTGCAGGGCAAAGTCTCCTATGTATTATTCCAGTTTGAACTTTCAAAAGTGATTTTGCTTCTTGATGCTTCTTCTTTCTGAACACTTGCAAAATGATAATCATTTTCAATAAAGATCAACAAGGATTAATCCTGAGAGAAATTTTGAAAATCCTTGTTTCTGATGGAAAAGAAAGAATAGGATTGATTACATTTCCAACCCTAATAGCATGAATACTTGGAGTCCTTCATTCTGGAGAAAAATGTTGTATTTTTTCATCAACAAAACTGATCTTGATGGGGATATATTTTAAGCCACTGGAGATCAGAATTTTTCTTTGCAGAAACTCAAGGTAGAATGAACTCTTTAAAATTGACACCAAAGTTCCGTCATTACACTTTCACAAAGGAATAAAATTTTCTGGGCAACAAAAGTGGTTCATAAGTCTATTGTCTTGGGCACTGAAAGCCTTGTTCTTCCATTGTGCCTGGCTGCTTTGGGAAGTAGCTTCTGTACAGTTCTCCAAAGAAATCATGAAGTCAGTGAGGTTTTGAGGACTTTGGGTAGTCTAATTCCCTCTTCTGGTGCCAAACATTATTCTGTATTTGATTTGCACTCAAAAGAGGTTGGTTTAATATTTGTTAGAAACATACAGTGCCAGGAGAAAGAATGATAAATGATAATTTTAAAAAACTTTGGTGGCAAAAATACTCTGTGGCAAAAACAGCGCTACATTTGCAAATTTTCTCCATAATATCATTTTTTCCCATATGAACCACTGCTTGGTTCTTTTTATTTTTGAGAAAATAGAATATAAAAGAAAATAACATAGCAGACTAAGAGCCAAAACATACTCAGAACACTGGGGTTTCCAATAACATGTTTCACTTTGCCCCGTGCAAAACTCAATAAAGACTATTGTAATGTTACTGATTATCTAACAAAGAAGTAAAAGATTAATTTGTCTCATTTTTAAAATATTTAATGTTGGGAACTCATAATATGATTATCTATGTAATGACCTCTCCCTGCATATCCCTATTAATCTGATGATGGTAAACCTTTCAGTGCCATAAATTATTATGGAATTAATTTTATCATATAGCAGTAAAATCTATTGCATACATGAACATATTATTACCAATGGAAGTCACTGTCACTGTCACTGTCCTCCCATTGTTCATCGATTTGCTCTAGCGGGCCCAGTAATGTCACCATTGTGAGACTTGTTACTGTGTTTTGGCATATCAAATACGCCATGGGTAGCTTGCCAGGCCTTGCTGTGCGGGCGAGATACTCTCAGTAGCTTGCCAGGCTCAATGGAAGTAAGGAAATAAAAATTTTATTAGCTAAAAGTTAAACTTTACTATATATGTACTTATATATGCATTTATATATCTACATGTATGTACACACATGTAACAGTTATTTTTAAAATCGGATCATTTCATCTCCGCTTAAATTAAACCAGTGTTTTCTATGACACTAACAATCACATTTACTTTTCTTCCCTGATTACAAAGGTCCATCATGATCTAGCCTTGTGTAACCGGGACATCTCTTTCCCCCATACTTCTTGCTCACCAAGTTCTAGCCACAGTTGGTTTGCTTTCTTGCTTTTAAACCTATTTAGCTCATTCTGCTTCAGGTCCTTGCAGATGCTGTATCTATTATCTAGAGCTTTCTTCACACTCAGTCTTGTCTTGACCTTCATCACTTAAGACTCTACTCAAGAGGTCCCAGATCTCCTTATAGAAACCCTCCCCCAACTTATGTTTCTAGCAGCAACACTCCACTCCATCACTATAAGTCTATCACAGCACTTCTTATCAGAAATTACCTGTTGTATCTGCATTCTGTTGTGTCTGTCTACTAAAATCTAAGGTTCACATCTACTAAAATCTAAGCTCCTTGAGAGTTCAGACCTAGTTTATTTACTCAAATTTTCTAACTACCTTTTTGAATGAAATGAATTTTTAATGTATTGTTCTTCAGTAATGACTTAGGTTATGCAGAAAATTAAGGTAATAAACACCACTCATAGTACTATCATGCTAAGGCAAGTTTACTTTAAATATATTTTTTTCCATTATTTTTCTTTAAACTTTTAGACCATAATTTTAGTTTAAATTTGTATACAATTAATTCTTAATGCTCCTGTCTGCCTGCCTAATTCAAAATCATCCTGATTCATTAGCCCCCAAGACAAGCTTGTGCAAACAGCTAATTTAGCTGGTGCTATCAGTATACAAATAAGGAAACTGAAACTCCGAGTCATTGACTGGGGGTTAAAATGCCACTTTTGCTCAGTGTCACATAATTGGTGGCTAAGCTCAGAGCCTTGAACTAGCTTATCTTTTCAAACTTATTGTTCAGAATTTCCATTCATAATGTATCTGCTCATTTTTCTTACAAAATATGTTTTTCTCCATCTCCTTCATTCCTTTGGTAATCAACTGAAAAAACCTTTGAGGTCTATGTGATTAACTTAAGTAGAGGCAGTGTGACCTCATAGTGAAATTCATGTCTTATTGGATTTTTGTTGTTGTTATTATTTGTTTTTTTTGGGGGGGGGACATGCCAGTGATGCTCAAGGATTACTCCTGGCTCTGTGCTCAGGAATCACTCCTGGAGGTACCTGGGGAACATATATGGTGCCGGGAATCAAACTCGGGTTGGCCAAGTGCAAGGAAACTGTCCACTGGCTGTACTATGTCTCAGATCCTATGTCTTATTGTTTAAATAAAAGTACTAGAAAGCAGTAGAATTCTGACATTTAAGATACATGATTTCTATATCTTAAAGTGTCATACTCAATATGCCAAATACCAGTAACAATGATGGGTCTCATTCTCCTAATCCTGAAAGAGCATTGAAATGGCTCTTTTAAAATCTCAGGGCTAACTGGCCGAGCAAGTGAAAACAGAGATAGATAAATGGGACTATCTTAAACTAAGAAGCTTCTGCACCTCCAAAGAAACAGTGACCAAAATACAAAGACAGTCTACAGAATGGGAAAGGATATTCACCGAATACACATCTGACAAGGGGTTGATATCCAGGATATACAAAATACTGGTTAAACTCCACAAGAAGAAAACATCCAACCCCATCCAAAAATGGGGCAATGAAATGAACAGAAACTTTCTCAAAGAAGAAATCCGAATGGCAAAAAAGCACATGAGAAAATGCTCTACATCATTAATCATCAAGGAGATGCAGATCAAAACCACAATGAGATACCATCTCACACCTCAGAGACTGGCCCACATTCAAAAGAACAAAAGCAACCAATGCTGGCGTGGATGTGGCGAGAAAGGGACACTCCTTCACTGTTGGTGGGAATGTCCACTGGTTCAGCCCTTCTGGAAAACAGTATGGACGATTCTCAAAAAATTAGAAATTGAGCTCCCATTTTTTTTTTTCCCCCTTTATTTTATTTTATTTTTTTTAAAGTTGTAGATTTACAATTTTTTGTGCTTTGGTTTCAATTATACAATGATCAGATACCCATCCCTCCACCAGTGCCCATTTTCCACCACCATGGATAATATCCCTCCCACCCCCATCCCCCCATCCCCCCGTCTCTGTGGCAGGGCAATCCCCTGTGTCCTCTCTCTTCTTTTGGGTGTTGTGGTCTGCAAAAGAGGCATTGAGTGGCAAACATGTTCAGTCCATAGTCTACTTTCGACATGCATCTCCCCTCCTGGGAGGATCCTCCAAACATCCTTTATTTGGTGCTCCCTTCTCTATCTGAATAGCCCTTTCCTCTAGGATACCCGGCTGGCCTCTAAGTTATGGAGTAATCCTCCTGGTGCTGATCTCAGCTATTCTTGGGTATTAATCTCATACTTTGTTACTTTATATCCCCCAGATGAATGCAATCTTTCTATGTCTATCCCTCTCTTTCTGACTCATTTCGCTTAGCATGATACTTTCCATATTGTACCACTTGTATGTAAATTTCATGACTTCATCTTTTCTAAGAGCTACATAGTACTCCATTGTGTAGATGTACCAAAGTTTCTTTAACCAGTCATCTGTTCGTGGGCATTCAGGTTTCTTCCAGTTTCTGGCTATTGTAAAGAGGGCTGCAATGAACAAACAAGTGCAGATGTCACTTCGACTATACATTTTTGCCTCTCTGGGATATATTCCCAGGAGTGGTATTGCTGGGTCAAACGGGATGAGCTCCCATTTGACCCAGCAATACCACTCCTGGGAATATATTCCAGAGAGGCAAAAATGTATAGTCGAAGTGACATCTGCACTTGTTTGTTCATTACAGCACTCTTTATAATAGCCAGAATCTGGAAGAAACCTGAATGCCCAAGAACAGATGACTGGTTAAAGAAACTTTGGTACATCTACACAATGGAGTACTATGTAGCTCTTAGAAAAGATGAAGTCATGAAATTTACATACAAGTGGTACAATATGGAAAGTATCATGCTAAGCGAAATGAGTCAGAAAGAGAGGGATAGACATAGAAAGATTGCATTTATCTGGGGGATATAAAGTAACAAAGTATGAGATTAATACCCAAGAATAGCTGAAATCAGTACCAGGAGGATTACTCCATAACTTAGAGGCCAGCCGGGTATCCTAGAGGAAAGGGCAGTTCAGATAGAGAAGGGAGCACCAAATAAAGGATGTTTGGAGGATCCTCCCAGGAGGGGAGATGCATGTCGAAAGTAGACTATGGACTGAACATGTTTGCCACTCAATGCCTCTTTTGCAGACCACAACACCCAAAAGGAGAGAGAGAACACAGGGGATTGCCCTGCCACAGAGACAGGGGGGAAGGGGGAATGGGGGTGGGAGGGATATTATCCATGGTGGTGGAAAATGGGCACTGGTGGAGGGATGGGTATCTGATCATTGTATAATTGAAACCAAAGCACAAAAAATTGTAAATCTACAACTTTAAAAAAAAATAAAATAAAATAAAATAAAGGGAAAAAAAAGTGATTAAAAAAAAAAATCTCAGGGCTAGGAAGAAGGAGACGTTACTGGTGCCTGCTTGAGGAAATTGACGAAAAACAGGATGATCCTGATCATGATATATATATATATATATATATATATATATATACACACATATATATATCTGACTGGAAACACCTGTAAAGGCGATTAGAGGCCATCCCAAAAGCCTCTATCCCTCTTGAAGAGCCCAGTAAGCTACCGAGAGTATTCCATCTTCTCGGCAGAGCCTGGCAAGCTACCTGTGATGTACTTGATATGCCAAAAACAGTAACAATCACGATGCTCATTCCCTTGACCCTGAAAGAGCCTCCAATACCCCATCAGGCTACACTAGCACGTGACAGGGACAAATGAAGGCGTTCCTGGCACCTGCTCAAGCAAATCAATGAACAACGGGATAACAGTGATACAGTGATAGTGATAAATACAACAGCTTCTTTATTCAATCATCTGTCAGTGGGCATTTAGATTGATTCCGTATTTTTGGCTGCTTAGAATAATGATGCTAAGGGATCTTTTCAAATTAGTGTAATGTACCTTTCATATAAATGCCCAGGAAAGATATAACTGGACCATAGCATAGTACCATTTTTACTTTTACAAGAAATATCCATATCATTTTCTTCAGAGCTTGTAGCAATTTATATTTCCACCAACAATATACCAGATTTCATTTTTCTCCATAATCTCACCAATTTTTGTTGTTTTCAATATTCTATTTGTGTCCAGTATTTTTCATGGGCTAGTCTCACCCCTAAAATGTGATATCTCATCACAATTCTGATTTTTAAAAAATTTTTATTAGTGAGACATAATGAGGTACAGTTGTAGACTTAAAAATTTTTGTGCTTGGGTTTCAATTATATAATGATCAAATACCCATCCCTCCACCAGTGCCCATTTCCCACCACCAAGGATCCCAGTATCCCTCCCACCCCCCAACTTCCCCACCCCACCCTGCCTCTGTGGCAGGGCATTCCCTTTTGTTGTCTCTCTCTTATTGGGTTTTGTGGTTTGCAAAAGAGGCAATCGGTGACAATCATGTTTGGTCTATAGTCTACTTTCAGCATGCTTCTCCCATCCTGGGAGGATCCTCCCAACACCCTTTATTTTCACCACAATTCTGATTTGAATTTTCCTAATAATAAATGATGGTAGTATTTTGTTCATAGTGCCTATGGAAATTGTATAGGCCTTATTTGGAGAAGAATCTATTTGGCTTATTTTGCAGAAAATGTAGCACGCTTTTTATTATTTTTTTAACTTTAATGAGTTTCCATATATCTAATTTCATGTAACACAGTTGACTTGGGCTGGAGTGATAGCATAGCAGGTAAGGTGTTTGCCTTGCCCGTGTCCGACCCAGGCTCGATTCCTCCGTCCCTCTCAGAGAGCCCGGCAAGCTACCAAGAGTATCCCACACACATGGTAGAGTCTGACAAGTTCCCCGTGGCATATTCGATATGCCAAAAATAGTAACAACAAGTCTCACAATAGAAACGTTACTGGTGCCCAATAGAGCAAATCGATGAACAATGGGAGGACAGTGCTACAGTGCAGTGCTAGAGTGTCTTAATTTTAATTTTTTATTTACCTTGTCAGTAGTGTTAACTTACACAACTCTGATATTGAAGTTCTGTAGCGTATCCTCAATGATCTCCTCTATGTATTCTATGTTTGGGTTCTAATATTCAAATATTTAATCTAATATTCAAATATTTAACT